ATGCAACATTTTGATCCAAGTCGTTTGAACCAAGAACTGAAATGAACAGGTCCGAGGGGATCCTTGTTGAACATGTTTTGGGAATCAGAATAGACATGCCACGGTCTTGAATCGTGCTTGTCCATCGAATGAGTGACAGCTGCCAGCTGGTTTCCGGTCTATATTACCCCTACCAAAAAGGGTGTAGTGCGTTGTTCACTCCAACATTCGATCGTCGATCCACCGTATGAGTTTCTGGAAGTTGCAGGATTTTTCCTTTATTAGTTAAAGCTATCCGGAACAGACATCCCGCTAGTGAAGGTTGGTCCTTTTGTGCGTCCCATGTTTCCGCCTTGGTCCCACCACTCTTGGGATTACTGTACGAGCATGTTCATGGGTTGACCTACAGAGGCACTGCTCGACTTTGATGTTTCGGAGCTTTTGTCGAAGGTGCAGAGGCCGATTGACATGGCTCTGTAGCCAACCAACCCACCAAAGCAACCAAGCAAGAAAGCGACAAACAAGCCAACCAACCAATTATACTGAGTTATAGTCAGGCAGGACTCCCTAAACAATATGGCAAATGCACAAATCCTCATCCTTCCCAAGCATCAACCAATTCATCCACCTTGTTCCGGCCAGGAAGGGTAAAGGCAAGCCCAGCGACCTCCCGGGCCCTCCGGTCCCTCCGGGCCCGGTGACGGACCGTGCCGAGACGGCCCCGCGCGAGAGCTCCAAAGCCGCCAGCAAGTCTTCGGAGGTGGAGCGGTTCGTTCGGCGTTCGGAGGACGGCCGACGCGACCGGATTGGTGTGGCAAGGGGATGATAGACCAGGCCACTTTCCGGTCGACACATCAGAAGGGCCTGCAGGAACGTTGAAATTGTATATACATTTGTATTCTTCTAAATTTTTCTTGGCCTGGAAGCCGGCTGTTGAACCTGATCCGATTCTTGGTGACTCTGTGGCTTCCCTGCACTTTTCCCAGGAAGTACTCAGCAGATCATCAGAGTTGCAGGTAAGCCCAAACAGGTTTACCTGCAAGGTTCTCTGAGAGGGCGCTTTTGCTGGTCGTAGGGTTTTCTCTGCTAGTCTCCGGTTGTGCTGGGTTGCTTGCGTTGCCTCTTCGATCAAGTGGAAGGACATTGAAGCAGTGCTTGCCAACCAATCCTATGTACTTGCCTTGCGCAACTCCTGCGCATTATGCAGCCGACTTTCCAAGACGCCGGGCGATCTCCTCCTCCTCCTCCTCTTCCTCTCAGACCATGCTGCTTAAAATAATCATGCACTGAGTTTCAAAACCTGGCCAGTGGGGCCAACAGAGGTGGTGTCTGCAGAAGTACCTTGAAGAAACGTCGACACTGTGTCGTTTACCTTCAAATCCTCCTTTTGATGGAAGCCACAAAGGACCTAGAAGACCATTTGGCTTCTCCCACAGAGCCCGTGCCATCACCGCCTAATTGCTCGGAAAATCCAGAATGGTGGAGGCATTCAGCATGGCATTCCATTTGGCATCGTGTGAACTTCATGGAGCACATGAAGGCTCAGGATGCGGACACACTAGGGCACTAGGGCCAGATTCACGAACTGTTTCTGAAGGATGCTCAATGCCGACAGGCCGAGCCACAAACGAACCCGACCCACGAGAATGGGAAGGCACTTGAGAAGATGCAGAATGCCCTGAGCCTGCAACTCTCAAGGACGAAAGTCAACTCCAATTTGGACCAGTGCCGCACAGTCTTAGGAACTCTTATCGGATCCTGCCGTGGATGTTGACCACTGCCACCACGTGGAAGAAGGAAAAAGACAACCGACCTGTGCTGCCAAGACACTCTTTGGGTCGCTCTGCAGGATCTTGGTACTCTTCACAGCTGGCTTCAATCATGGAGGAACAGTCACGGGAATGCCGCTCATGAGTTCTTGAAGGACTTTGAATTGGACGCATCAACCTTGCATGGGCGGAGTTTGGTCCAGGAAGAAATTAACGGATAGCTTCAGTTAAAGACACAGGCTCAGCACATATGCCGTCTTCAGTGGCCTTGTGCAGTGAGCACGCCGACAATGACTCTTCAGGAGCCGTTTGATCAATGGTCCATCCGAGCAAGACCATACTAGTAGCTTGCTCCCAGTAGCGATGCCCTTGTTAGCTAGTAGCGATGTCAGGAGCTACTAGTAGCGTCCTTGCTCCTATGTATCTCGGCATTGTCACAGCATTTCACCATGACAGCGCGATGCTTTGCTTGACCGGTCCAACGAATCGAGTCGCTTGGAAAAGACTCCATGGTCTTTCCACTTGGGTGTGGAGACAAAGGTTCAGATTCCTGTGTTCACACATGGCTCGTCCACTCAGGTGTGGAAAAAGGTGTAGGTCTGGCGTGCTGTGCAAGATGCTCAAGGCCACTTGCAGGCCACGCAGCTACGTGGGCGGTGCGCCGGATCGACGATCAAATCGACATCAAAATGGAGAAAAACACGACGAAAAAGCTCGACTGCGCAAGTGGCTCATTAATCCTTCGGTGGGGGGGCTTGCTTGCGTGGGTCGCCTCTCTTGCAGCTGTGTCTGGTTGTTTTGGGTGCGGTGTCTCTGGCTGTCTCTAATTAGACTGTTTCAGCACAAAGAGCTTAGCTAGACTGACCTTTGTGACCTGTGCAAAACAAAAAACATCATGGTGTTTGTTCTCCTGTGTTTTGTTTCCCTGTTCGCCCATAGCGGAGGTGGCCATCGCCGGAGGTCCCGAACGCTTCACGGCTGCTGATGCCAAAGGCCGGCTGCCGGTGCATGTGGCTGCGCTCTCCCGGCGCTTAGATACCATGAGCCTTTTGTGGCTGGTCAGCACCGAGAATTGTGGCAAAAACACATGGTCCCTCTCCGCCCATGACTGACACTGGTGGCGAAGACCCCCGAAAACGAATGCCTGCCAATGAATGGTTGCAGAACCGAACCCCTTTTGAGTTCTTACGGACTTGGTCGATACTGGCTTCATGACCATGGGGGAGAATGGGCACTGTCGAGGCGGTGCGTTCTGTTTGCACCCGTTCATCAGACATGTTTGTCTTCCTGCACGTGGTGAGAACTTACGATTTAATGTTCTTTCGCCTACCCTAGTAATTATGTGGCCATCCAAGAACTGACCTAAGAACGGACATTGTTAAAACCACACTTCATGGTCATCACCATCTCCGTTGTCACCAGCTCAAACCCAAATAACACTCAGATTTCTTAGCCTTTGTGCAGATATCCCATGAATGTGGCCTAGTTTTGGAATCGTTCTTGCTCGTGTTTTTGTGTTTATTGCAAACATGTATTTTTCCGAACCAGCTCCTTGGAGAGGATAAAGAATCGCTTGAAGGCAACGGTCCAGTTTTTTGGTCGTGAATCTCTTGAAGTACAGATTCTTAGCTCTTCTCAAAAAACACAATCTATCCAAAAGTTGATGTTGGATATCAGATGATATAAGGCTTTGGGGTCCGATTTCGAGACACCCAAGCATCACAGCACAAGACCCCTGCGTGCAGCGGGCGCCCGAGGTTGGACTTGGAGGCCGATGTGAACGCCTGTGACTCGGAGGGCAACACGCCACTGCAGCTCGTGGCCCGAACGGATGATCGCTGGATGGTGGAAGTGCTTCTGACCTATGGCGCAGATCCAGAGCTCACCAACTCCAAGGGAGAGACATGCTTCGCCTTTGCCAGTCAAGTGATGAAAGATTACATCAACAAATGGGTGCAGCAGAAGAGATTTCGTGGACTGGTAGAGTTCCCCTTACCTCCCAGTCCTTTGCATGCACTCTATCGTGTCAGGGTGGATTGTATACCCATGCTAATGTACCAGGAGGAACTTGAAGAACAGGTTCTAAGCTTCTTTGCCAAGTTGGAGTTTGAAAAGCCCCTTCGCGTGATTGTGCCGCGGAACCCCATCCACGGCTGGCCTTTGGGCTTTTGTTACGCTGACTATGCTGAGAAGCAGCACGCCCTCGACATTTGCAAAGCGGCGAAGGTTGAGGGCATTTTCATGCAGCGCCGCCGGCTGAATTTGACCAATCAAGGCGCGCACTACCAGTACAAAGAGAACAATGAGAATCAGCTTGATCAGACCCAGGCTAATAAGGCCTAGGCCCGTAGGACATGAACCAAAAAAGACGCTGAGGAGATCCTTCTGCAAAGCCACGGGTGCAGTGTTAAAAGTTGATATCGCAAATCAGATGGCAATTTTGATGCAATAAATTGCACCATCAAAAAAGGTAGTATGTACCCCATCAATAACTGCTGTTTTGCTAGAAGTGCCACCAATCACGAAGGCTCAGCAGAAAGAGAGAGGGACAGAGAGAGAGAGGGAGAGAGAGAGAGAGAGAGAGAGAGAGAGGGAGGGAGAGAGAGGGAGAGGCAGGGAGAGACAGGGAGAGACAGGGAGAGAGAGAGAGAGAGAGCGAGCGAGCTCACGTGTATTGTTTTTGAATTGAGATGGTACCAAAGGAAGTATCTGCAATCTCAATGATCCTTACATGGCATCATTTCAGCGGGTTTCAACTGGATTCGACCCCGCTTTCAAGTACTGGCCTGTCAAAAGAAATTCTGGAACACTTCACACCGCCCCGCCCGGAACACCCAAAAAGCATTTTTTGACTTCGAGAAAGGTTGGTGTGACATCGTGCCAAGTTGATCCCAAGAGCTACTAGCGTCCTTGCGCCTAGTTGTGACTGGTAGTAAGGCCAGGAGCCCCTAGTAGCATCCTTGCGCCAAGTAGCGATGCCCTTTGTTCCTAGTAGCTTCTTGTTACTAGTAGTATTGTATATAGAAGGATTAGAGTTGAGAGTATCCCACAAGAATGAGAGGCTCGTACGCTGCGAGAGCAATCACTGACTGTAGCTTTCACTTAACATTCTGACAAAATACGGCATTTCGCACCTCGGCCATATTGAAGCTACCGGTTGATAGCGCGGGAGTTGCGACTTTTCTTTTGCTTGGCAACAGCTTTTCAGTGAGATCAGATGGCTTTGCATGTGGCTATTGGTGCTCAGCTACACGACAAAGGAGCAGAGGATACCCCCATTTCATTTTCTCAGGCACTTGGGGCTACCATGAGCAGTCATCGCCTGGTGTAACAACAGGCCTGCGTTCTTTGCAATTTTTGCATTGACTTCTCCTCACACGACGCCCTCAACCTGTTCACAATGACTGCACACCGAAGGGCAACTGATTTTGGGCCGACATGGGTTGATTCAGCTGTCAAGAGGGTGACAAGCCTGGAGCCATCAAGAAACACCATAGAAACCGTGGTTGTCCTGATGTCAAGTATTGCCCCAGATTTTTACATTCACAGACAAAGAACTGCTCGCTCAGGGTGGTGGAAACCTGCTTCAGACCTAATGCAATTACGACGTACAAGCAGAGGTTGTTATTCTGATTGTATCTGATTGTTATTTCATATACTGTAGATATTATTAGGAGTATATATTACTATTACTTTTTTGAACACACACTCTGTTTTGTACAAGGTCTACTAGTATAATATACAAATGTGCAGTCTTGAAGGAGATGAGGTCCGTAGTCATGATCCTGCATCAGTTGCATGCACTGCAGATCTGCGTTGGATTTTACAAGCCGCTGTTGAAGTATCGTGCCACTGTGGCGTCATGGCCGATGGGTGGCAATGACTTCAAAGGAGCCAGGGTCGACTTTGTGACAACTTTTCTGCACGAAAAGAGCTGTGTTGTAAGATTATCATGGATTTGTGAGTTTACCATTCTTTATCATGGATACTGTATATATTTATATATAATTTTGGGATTTGAATGATATTGAGCCGGGACATTTACTTGTACCTTGTTGGGATATGATTCACTGTGATTGGAGATAGATGGTTTGGTTGGATTTCCACATCATTGGTAGGCCGGTCGTATGTTGTATGATGTTGTATGTTCCTTTTTGGGATGATTTTGGATGTGATCTTCCGACTGAGCCCCGGTCCGCCAAACCGGTTTTGAACAAACCAAATCATTGGCTTTGGGCAGATCATCCCTTTCACTGGACACGAACTGCCCAACCTAGCTTTTGATGGATTCATGATTTCGGTTGCCAGATGATCACTAGAGTCACTAGGGGAGACTGACTGGCTTTTTCCGACTGTGCCACACGAATCCCCATACGACCCATCGAAGCTGTTGTCCATGTAAACATTGCGCTGGGTTCACAGGAGGCCTCTGACTTCACAAAGGACTGGCCAGAGCTGCAATTGAAGGCCAGATGGTTTGGGTTTCGCCGTTTACAGCGCCGCTTTGAAGATGTCGTTGAGTGATGGGGATCGCACGGGGATTGCATGAGTCAATACCGACTGAGAGAGGTTTTAGGGGTTGTCCAAGGGTCTACATGAGTCAGTTCTAGAGGCACAAGCGTCGCTCCATGGAGAGGCAAGCTCGGCCGACTACTACTTCGAGTCCTATAACCACTATGGTGTGCATGAGGAGAACGGCAGCCTTGCCCTTGACCAGTCTGACGACATAATACGGATGGAGCGGTATGCCGACTCGAGGTATGGCGACGGTCCCCACACAGCGAAACGATTTGTGGTTGCTTGAGCCTGAAACAACACGTCTGAACTCCTAAACAGTCCCCCACCACGGTTTTGCGTTGACAAGACTACCTGCACTGTTGGCGGAGTTTGCAGTTTCCTTCAGGGTTTGAGGAGTTGACAAGAGAGGTACTGTATCCCGTAGGGTCGTAGAGCACTCCCTGAAATAATCATGGAAGTGGAGTTCACCGCCTGTTGGGCATTTAGATTTCATATGATTTCATGGTCAACTGAAATCGGGATCATGCCATCCACATAACCATGATGATTCTAGGGGTGACTCATGTTTTTGGCCTTTGCCCGGTAGGACATCTTCCAGGATGGAGTGACCATCCAAGCATTTCAGCAGGCGATCCTGCAAAGCCCGAAGCTCAGCTGATCCAGGGCTTGTCCCACGAAGGAATGGCTGTGAGTCAAAACTTCCCCCACCAAACCATGGTAGGTTGGCATCCCTCAAAAGAGGAATCTGTTCATTTTCGGTGGCCAACCAGGGTTTTAACCCACAGCCAAATACAAATACTGTAATTGAAAGGACCAATAGAGTCAATATGATTGTAGGGGCTTACCACTGCCGATTTATCAAAAGTCTCCATTGTAGTTTGGGACTGCAGAACTTGTGTGGCGACTGGTTCCTTTGAGATGGGTCTCGCGACTGGTGTCCCTGCTGACCTGTGGTGTGTCGGGTCGTTTGCCGCTGAGATTCCCACATGTTTGAGGGTAAAGTCGTCTTGGAGGTGGCGGTCCAGTGCAGGGCAGGGCAGTTGGGAAGGGTGACGTGACTCTCGGAATGGCTTCTGTGACATGACTCTCATGTCCAAGCACATTCTGAGAGTCCAGTCCAGTCATTGGATTTTTCATATTTTTTCCCAAACAGTGTTGCACCCACGTGTCCGGTTAATTCGCTGCTATTTACAGTACATTCATGCCTCTTGAAATCCTCGAACCGCATTTCGACCGCGCAGGCTCGCAAAATCTGGTTGGCTGGAGCGGGTGCTTGTCGCGACTGCGCTCTTGTTGTGGTGCCGTGCGCATTTCCGGACATGGCGGTCACTTTTCGTGGCAGGCGCAAGGGGCACCTCGTGTTTTGATGGTCCAAAGTCGATTTTTCGTGACAGATGCAAGGGATCGGAGTTTTACTTCGACATGCAGATTTCGTGGCAGGCGTAGCACTGTGGACATGGTGGTGATCTTGGACGTGCTCTAATTTCGTGACAGGTGCAGTGAATCATGACTTTTGGACATGTGGGTCGTTTTCAGAATTCGTGGCAGGCGCAGCACTTTGTGAACCTGAAGTGCAGATTTCGTGGCAGATGCAGTGCTTTTTGTGGACCCTGAAGTGCAGATTTCGTGGCAGGTGTAGTACTTTGTGGACCTGGAAGTGCAGATTTCGTGGCAGGCCCAGCACTTTGCGAGCATCGAAGTGCAGATTTCGTGGCAGGTTGCAATGGTTTGCAAACCTCGAAGTGCAGATTTCGTGGCAGGCGCAGCACTTTGTGAACCTCGAAGTGCAGATTTCGTGGCAGGCGTAGCACTTAATTTGTGCTGTCGGATGCTCTGTCTCTCACTCACACTCTCACCCTCACTCTCACCCTCACTCTCACTCTCACTCTCTCTCGTTCTTTCTCACACTCTCTCTCACTCTCTCACGCACGTGCGCGCCCGCCCCACCCACGCGCGCGCCCGCACGCCCGCCCCGCGCCACCACGCCGCC